GGAAGCCATCGGACCGTGTCCAGATTTGGAACGAATGTTAAACAGTTAAAACATTTGTCATACTGCACAGATAATTAGTTTTCGTCAACTATCTCGAAGTATTAAATTATTCGCCAAAGGTATTGATTTTGGCCATCTACCTCCGTTTTTTCTGTTAATACTGCCTCATTAAAACTCGAGCGCATTTCCTATTTCACTAGAGGTAGTGAAAGTTTTAAACCTTCCTTATGAAGTAAACTTGTTCCACCTATTCACGACGTAACCTTTTTCCCTCAGTGAGTAGTTACGGTTGGACAACAGCCAGTCAACAAACTTTCTGCTCCACTGTTCACTGATTCCCACGCGGCATTCTATTGGGATAAGCTTCGTCCAGTACTCTCTTGGGTAACTTGCAAATTGTCGTAATTCGCACTCAGTTGTACATGGGAGAACAAAAGGACAGGCTGTTCACTCGATTTGATAACGAAAAGCTGAGACAGATTTCTAAATGATGAGATAAACTCGTCCTGATGTTCCTGAATTCAGATTGTGAATCTGCCATTAATTATATGCTATTTGTCATGAGTGGCTACAGAAATGTTTAGCATCTTAAAAATTTATGTCATGACATTCACTACTGTTGACGAATTTAGTCTCGTCAGGGGGATGCTTTGATACAAATTTGACATACGATCTGGCTCATATTGATTAATTGCTCATACATGAGAAATGAAATATGGGGCATGCGTGCAAATCAGCAAATCACTACGCAAGTATCAACGATTACTGACAAAAATAAAATTGGAATGGTAGCATGATGGTAGGCAAAAACTCTGTCTCACCTTCCCTAGACACATTTATTGTTGTCTCTAGCTAGATTTGAGTGGTTGACTGACGGCCGTGAGCCGCGCTTCATGTCCCAATGTCAGTCCATTCAAAGGAGGCATGCTTATTAGGCGGAAAAAGCATGTCTGGTAATCCCTACTTCAGTATGCCCACTACTTCAGGTTTCACCCAGTTGTATACGAAGATCAAAAGGAGGGCCCGTGCTCTCGATAGTTTTGCAGAAAACTGCGCAACTCTCTGATAAGTCCACTGGTTTCTGCTTCACGTTTAGTAGACAGGGGATTTATGCAAACTTACATTACTCAAGGGGTATAGGCAAACGATGGTAATCAGTAGTTTTGAATATTTATATGTTTCCAAGAGGCGAACTTTGAAATGCCAATATATGATCTTGCTGAATTTTCATTATTGTTCCTGTATGCCAACCAATTCACTCGATGCGACCACCAAACTTTAATTTGAAGAATCAATTGGCAAACATACGTTTTCGGTAATTAATCATCAGGCCGATACATTTGCATGGGTAATGATCATTCTAATTGAAGACAGGATATAAATGCGTCTCAGGGACAGGGTTAATCAGACTCCATGCCCCCACGCCGCCCGCATGACGGATTTAGTGTGTTGAGGACGGTGGATTTGGGGTGGGAGGGGGGGGAAGGAGAGGGGTTTCGGTCAGATTGTAAGCGCTGTAAGTGCGTATGACTGCTCTCAGGGCGTCGGGACGGCGTGCTATCACGGCCTGGAGTGGGTCAGGGCAGACAGATTGCTTGTGTCAGTGTCCTCTGACAACAGTGTTCTAGGTTCGCTAGTCGAATAGCCACTGCTTCGGCCTTTAGAGTAGTGTGCTGAGACCCGGTAGGCAACTTTAAAGGCCTCTTTAGCGTCGGATTGGTGGTTTAAATCGACTAGATGTGCGAGAATTGAACTCGAAATCGATCAATTTTTTCCCCCTACCTAGCCAGACAGGCATGTGTTCGCATACCCTCTTTTCAGACGCCTCGTTGTACGGTCACTCTAGTCTACTCCACAGGATCAGGTGAATGAATAAATACACATGAATGTGGCCTGTGACGGCAGTCGGTTTTTGCCCCCCAACCGTAGTAGGGGGGGAGCTTGCGAAGACTACGCGCAAGTTCACCGCAGAGAAGGCACTCGCGAGAGCTGTCCTAAGAAGTCGTCTCACTAATTCTCTTGCTGCGCCTCCTAGAAAAGGCAGTCTTAGAAATAAGTCCATTTTATCTGCAGTTGCAACGGCAGGTTTTGTGACACGCTCTCTAATATTCCGGAGGATGAATCGCTCTGGATAGCCGTTTTCGCGGAGCGTGTTTTGCAACTGCTGGAGTTCTGTTTCAACAGTTTCAGAAGAGCAGATGCGTCGCACTCTAGCCGCCAGTCCCAGGACTAAATTTCGTTTTTGATCTAAGTGAACAAAACTGTGAAAATTAATGTATTGTTCCGTCCAGTTTTTCTTTCTGAATACCTTGCTTTGAATGCATTCATCCTCTTGTCTGTGTAGAAGGACATCGAGGAACGCGATCTCGTTATTCCCCTCGGTCTCTGCGGTAAACATTAGAGAGGGGTGCGCCCCGCTAAACTTTTGAACTAGGCCATCGATGTCGGTGGAATGACTCGTCAGGCATTAACGAGTACGGCAACCTGGATTTTAAGAATAGCGGAGAATATTCGATTCTTAAGTGTCCTTTGAATCTAAAAAATAAGCTACCTTTATTTTATGCAATAAAATATGAAGTTCCGAGGGTATCTACTCAGGCAAAGTGCAATGCATCTCGTCAGATGACTGAACGGATTATCTGTATCGAGTCAATTGCCGACCGGCATATTTATAGTCCTCTCGCGTAGTACAGCCATCATGGCGGGCACCACAGTCCTCATAAATATCGAGCATTTTGCTGCTCAGGGTCGTGAAAAATTTGTTGGTTTTTTGTATGCATTGGAACTCCTGCAGGAGCCCATCCTGAGAGAGAGGCAACAGAACAAACCTCAGGTACGTCGAACACAGACCAGCTAACGACTGGTTTCACAGTTCTGGAGGTGACTGGGCAAAATTCTGGATGCTGAAATCTCACCTGAGGCCCCGGCGTCAGCATCTGCTTGGATTGTTTTGGCTTTGGAGTGCGCAATTGTCTTGGCGCCCGCGAGGATGAACTTGTGACCCGCGTCGTTGTAGGTAGTCAGTTAAGATATTTCATCCCGCCGTACAGGCAAGTTATGTTCGTGTATGCGGGATCCGACTATTTGTTCAGCCTGGCCTGTGTTCTCACAAGCACAGTTCGGGCACGAAAAATGATTCGACAGTTCGATCGTCGTTGGTAATGATATGCACCATCTGTTCCACAACAGGGAGAGATCTGAAGCCGTGATTTGCATATGATTTCGTTTATAGTGGCGGTAGAACTGCGTAGCATAGTCTCACTCCCTTCTCCCTAAACCGGACCTGGTATCATGAAAAAGTCATGGAGATTGTAGGCAGCAGAGAAATCAGGTGGCTAGTACGTTGGAAACCCGCAGCGGAAGGACGTCGGCCGGGTCCACATCAAGTAGGAGAGGATTCAGCCTGACTCTCACTCCACCAGTCGGCCATTGCATGCAAACACACACGAGGCTGACAGTGAGATCCAAATTATCCTGTCAGTTGGCAGGCTTCCAAAGCCCGACTTTTAGCGCACCGTGATAAACTCAAGTGCGCCAGATTGATGATAGTGAGGAAAATGTGTTGAGGCGTCGACCTCTTTCTCTCTTTCCACTTCCATGCATCAGTCAACTGTCCGAGTCGGTCACATATCTGCTGCCGGGTGCAGTAGCTGACAGAACTAGGGAGGCCGTCCGCGGGCGCCACATAGAAGACCTGCCCAACCGCACCCTCCCCGAACGCATTCACCGAAATTACACACACACACACAAGGGTGAAGTGACTTGCATCTGGCATGTCTGAGCGAGTGCCACCGCGGCACGAATCTCAGTCCATCAGTAGGCTACTCAACATACAACTAGACCGATTGCGTGGTCTGGCTTGAAGCGTCAGTTGGTAAAATTGCATTGTAGTCTCAAACGCCTCAGATGCTTTGAAGCGAGGAATTATGCGCTGAGCGTCGACTGACCGCGCCGGTTCATCAGCTGATGCTAAGACTGGGGGGGGGTCTGACAAAGCTGGGAAGAGCTCGTTTGCGCGTGACACACCCACACACGACAGTTCGACAGTCGTGGACGACGGTGTCCACCGTATGCTCCACTAAAAGGTGAAGCAGGCATTGTGGCTTACGCGTGTTTTAGTTTATAGTGAGAGTAGAACTGCGCAGCATTTACCGCACTCTCTCCCTCCCCTCCCCCACCAGGACCTGGTGTCAAGACAGAATCAAGAGGATCGGGGGTAAGAAATGGTGCAGGTGGCCAGCACGGCGAGATCCGCATCTAAGCGTATCATCACACTGAGGCCCGCAGCCTCAGCGGCGGTCATACGACAGTTTGACCATCGTATCCGACGATGTCCACCGTGGGCTCCACATAAAAGCAAGGCAAGCAGGGTGACTTGCGCGTGAACTAGTTTGTAGACTTTCTCTGCATCTACCACACTCTCTCCTCTTCCTCACCAGGGCCTGGTGTCAAGACAGGGTCAAGAATACTGGAGTCAGGGGAGGTCGCAGGTGGATGGCACGGTCAAGCCCGCAACTTGGCGTTCCACTCCAAGCGCTCTGGTCCACACACAAAATAACCAAGATTTTAACCGACAACAAAAAGGGTGGCTTGCACGGAGAAGCCGCACCTAGGCGTGCCGCCCAAACGGGCCAAGGGGTAGATGCGCTGGCCGTATCGGATTTTGGCAGGCGTTATCAGATTTGTACACGATAAAAAATGTCAACACTTCGGGGTGTGGTGGCAGACCCGGTTGTCGGCAGTCGTCGCGCACACTAGGACCCTGCCACTCCCCATTGTTGTTGTTGTTGTTAAAAAAACCTGGTTATTTGATCTGGGGTCCAGGGGTGTGGCGTGGAGCGCCAAGGGGGGGGGCTCGACCGTTCGTCCACTAGCGCCCTCCCCCGACTTCAATCCTCTTGACTCCGTCGTGACACCGGGTCGAGGTGGGGAATGGGGAGGAGAGAGTGCGGTAAATGCTGTGCAAGTCTACCGTCACTATAAACTAAATCACGCGCAAGTCACCGCCTCTGCTCCTCCTTGCTGTAGAGCACGCGGTAGACATCGTCGAAACGGACGGTCGAGCTGTCGTCAGCCGCGTCGGAAGTCGGAAAGTGTTGGTCAGGGGGAGGACTGGTCTGCGCAGGTTCGTAGGCGAGGGAGGCGGTTGTCGCTGCAGCCGCCGATCCCATGAGAACCCAGCAATCGCCCCGGGCAGGGTAATCGGTCCTGAGGCTGGCATTGACGTCATCAAGGAGAATCAGCTATTCCGACTTTGACTCAAACACCAGGAGTGCGTGCAGATCATCGTAGAACATGGGGAGGAGGCGTAGGCGCTGATGATGGTGGCGATACCGATCCCCGAAGAGGCAGGCGAGGCCCATCAGACGACCATTAATGCCCTACGGCAGACAGGGCAGTCGTTCCATTATGCCATTCCGGATTGCAAAGGCGACGCCTGCATCTCCTCGCTCTGTCCTGGGGCGGACGCTCCACCTCTTCCATTTAGCCTGGTTCGGTGAAGCGAACCTCTCTGAGAGCAGTGGTGTACATCTTGTGGCGCGCCAGTTCTCGAGCGACTAGCGTCGCCCTTCGTTCCGGACGGTTGCTTCTCGCATTGTCTAAAAGGGAACGAACAGTCCAGGCTGCCAGAAGGGGCGGTCTCACTCTGGCAACCCTATGAGATGAAGTGATGGATTCGGACAAGATGCGTTGTTTGTTTGACTGTTTCTGTCGTGATTTATACATCTGAGATCGACGGTGATCCAAGAAATTGTTTACGTCACCTTTTGTAGTTCCTTTACCCACCAGGGGATAAAAAGTATTGTCCCTATATTAGGCTGCTCAGATATGTCAGACGGCTGCCGAACTCCACTATGAGTCACCGTTTGGCGCAGCGGGACAGCAGCTTAAGTTAGCCTGGACCACCTATGGGATCTGAGGAGAATGAATTGCTCACCGGATCGGGGGACTTTTCTGGCTGACGTTTCGAAGAGCTGGGGCTGCTCTCCATTGTCAAAGCGTCAAGGGAAAAAATCGATTAGCACTTTTTTGAATAGACTGCCGCATTAGTTGGCCTTGGGCCGATCGATTTTTTTTTCTTTCGCTGCCTTGGCCTACTGGCTGTCGCCTGTTGGTGGCCTCCTGTATTACTTATTGTCACCTCAATTGGGGTTGGTTGCGTTTGCGTTCCCCTTTTGGGTGAAGTGGTCGACAGGCCGTGTTTGCTCGGCATTCTTAGGCTCCGTATGATTGTCTTTTCTTCGTCACGGTGTATGTAATGACGTAGGACTTTATAGGCTGAAGGAAGGTCTAGCTGCCTGTTGATGGAGTTGGCATCTGAGTACCAAGCCTCAAGTGTGAGACGCTCAGTCCTTGAGGTGACCCTGCCTAAGACGGCTGCTCCATGAAAATCAAAACTGTGACCAGTTTCCCCGATGTGAGCCGCAAGTTGTGAGTTTGGGTCTAGTCTCCGTGTTGCCAGTTTGTGCTCATGTAGGCGGGTCTGCAATTTTCGTCCGGTTTCCCCAACGTAGTTACAGTCTCCATCCTTACAACGTATTTGATAGACAACTGCTGAGGTTTCAGTGGGTGGCAGTATGTCTTTGGGTTGCATCAAACGGCGACGAATTGTTGCCTGGGGCCAATGGGCAATACCTACCCTGGCGGGTTGTAGCAGTCTTGAAACCGCCTCAGAGACTTCTTTAATGTAAGGAATAGCCCTCCAAACTTCGGGTTGTTCTTCTTGTGGCCGTCGTGCCACCGTCGTGGCCGTGCCGAGCAATCACGGCCTGTCGACCTCTTCACCCAAAAGGGGAACGCAAACGCAACCAACCCCAATTGAGGTGACAATAAGTAATACAGGAGGCCACCAACAGGCGACAGCCAGTAGGCCAAGGCAGCGAAAGAAAAAAAAATCGATCGGCCCAAGGCCAACTAATGCGGCAGTCTATTCAAAAAAGTGCTAATCGATTTTTCCCTTGACGCTTTGACAATGGAGAGCAGCCCCAGCTCTTCGAAACGTCAGCCAGAAAAGTCCCCCGATCCGGTGAGCAATTCAGTCTCCTTAGATTACCGACCCGGATCTCTTACTTTTGCTAACCTGACATCTATGGCATCTCATACTGCTCTCCCCGTGAGGGAGGGAATGCGAGCGGAGCAGAATTACCGGGTGTAAGACACACACAACATCGAATAACCTCATCTGGTTTGGCCCGCCGGTCGAAGCGGTTAACAGGTTGTGACCGGGGGTACATTATGACAGCGAGGGCCAGTCACGATTTGTATGGTTCGGCCTGCTACCCTTCGCGGGTGCCCGCCTTACACCAGGGGATACGATACACAATGTCAGACTGCTTCCAAGGGTGTAGCGGGTCCTTGATTTTTATGATCAGATAATCAATTACATTATTTAGTATCGCAGTGCAATGCGCTCAATTGACTCCAAAGCGTCAGAGTTGGTGAATTCCATGGGTTGCATTAGGTTGGGGCAAGGGATAACTTAACCCGTGGGTAATTACAGTGGTTTTCACCGATATTGAGATGTAAAGTTTACAAAATTCTGGAAAACCGACCTTTCAATAATATGCCATATATTTTCCTACCGACGTAAGCGAAGAATAAAGCCCCTCGACATTTCATGTTGCCAGCATGTCGAAAAAACTACGACACACTGGCCATTTATTAAATGCACTAAAGTTCTCAATTAGCTAGCAGTGATTATCAGTGAGAATCAGGGTAAGGCCTGTATTCCTTTTCTTAACAATCGAAACAATTTTCTGTCCTGCCTTGGTGCTTGAAGCCCTTTCACTTCAGATAGACAGCGCGCGGATGAAGCAGGCATGAGATGTCACACAGAAGAAACTATCATGCGCTAATCATCCCCCGTCGTCTTGGGAATGTTTGCGACCACAGGAATTACAAACCCAAAGCTACCGCAACAGAAAGTCACCGGACACTGCCCAGATTTGGAACGAATGTCAAACAATTAAAGCTTTTGTCATACTTCACCGATAATGAATTTACGCCACATATCCCGAAGTGTCGGATTATTCGCCTATCGCATTTATTTTGCCAAGCTATTCTCGCCTGCTCTATTAATCCTGTCGCGTTCAAACTCAAACGCATTTCGTATTTCATTGGCGGCAGTGAAGATGCGAAATGTTCTGGGCGAAGTAACGTTGCTTCACTTTTGCGTGCAGTCACACTTTACTTCCGTTAAATGCCTACGGTTGAACGAGAGCCGATGAAAATATTCCCTGCTCCACTCTTTGCTAATTCCCACAACGGCACTAAATTTGGATAAATTTCGCCCAGTACTCCCTAAGACACCTTGCGTATTATCATAATTTACACTCAGTTGAGTACAAATGAACAATCGACCAATCCGCGCACACGATTTCTCAGTGAAAGGTTGGGACAACTGTCCAATTAATGAGTAGACCTCGGCCTGATCTTCGTAAATGCGGGTTGAAAATCTACCTTGGAATATATGCTATTTTCCATGAATAACCGTGGGAATGTGCATATGATTTTAAATCGACGCCATGACACTCACTACTACTGCCGGTTTAAGTCTCGTCAAGGGGTACATTTGACAATTTTTGTAGAATAAAGCTCTGTTAATTTTGATTCATTGCTCATACACGAGATGCAAATTATGGAACACGCGTGCGACGAAACGAAGTACATCCCAGTAAAAATGATAAGCAAAATAAAACTGAAACGTAAACAGAAACTGCGTTGGAAAAAAAACCCTGACTTACCTTTCCTTGACGCAATTATTTTCGTTACTTGAATGTTAAAAGCCGCCAGAGTGGGTATAGCGCATCGAAAATTGGCCGCCGTTTGATGCAACCCAAAGACACACTGCCACCCACTGAAACATCAGCAGTTGTCTGTCAAATGCGTTGCAGCGATGGAGACTGCAACTACGTTGGGGGAAACTGGGCGAAAATTGTAGACCCGCCTAAACGAGCACAAACTGGCAACTCGCAAACTAGACGCCAACTCACAGCATGCAGCAAACATAGCAGAAACTGGTCACAGTTTCTAGTTCCCAGGAGCAAACATCTTAAGCCGAGGCACATCAAGGACAGAGCATCTTACGCTTGAGGCCTGGTATTGAGATGCCAAATCCGCTAACAGGCATGTAGAACTTCCTCCGGCCTATATAGTCCTATGTCACTACGTACGCTAGGATCAGAACAAGACGCTCACATGGGGCTTAAAAAATATCGGGAAGGACATTTGCAACCGAACCCCATTGAGGTGACGGCATACGACGCAGGAGGCCGACCACATTCACAAACAACGGTCAGTTGTCCAAGACGGCGAAAGAAGAAAAAAACCGATCGACTCAAAGCAAATTAATTCAGTCGTTTGTTCGAAATGCTGATCAATTTTTAAGCAAAACGCTTTGATAATGGAGAGCAAGTCAAAACATTAGCCACTCAATTCCACTGACCCGATGGGCCCTACATATTTCTTAGACGTCTCTGGTTTCGGTTAACTGATTGAGTAAGAGCCTAGAACACGGATTGTGTCTCGGTATTAGTCCGTTCACAGGAGGCTTTCGTATTTAGAAAGAAATACGTCTAGTGGTCGTCGAAGCAGCATGCGCACTACACATGTTTCACCCAGTTGTGTGTGCTCTCGGCAGTTTAGAAAGGAATTGCACAAATTTTCTGCATCAAGTACTCTGTATACTGATTACAGTAGCTATTGAGTTAATGTAAATTGTCATTACTCAAAAACAAAAACGCCTGCTGTGCTAATCAATAGTTCGGACGATTTTTATGTTTTTAAGAAGCCAATTTTGAAATGTCCATTCTACAAATATAGTCTTATTACAATAGCATTAGTGTTTTTCTACCACAAGCAAAGGGGAGTTCATTTGATTTAACCAACAAAGCTTAGTTATTTTAAAATATGGGAGCCACAAATTTTCAACGCGTATAGCAGCAAAGGTTTCAAGATTAACGGTGGATATTCGGTTCGTAACTGCCTGCTGAATGTAAACAATTAGCTTTATGTGTTAGAGACTGAAAATGAAATCTCGAAATTAGAGACTCAGGTGGAGTGCAGGACGCTTGATCTGTCATATTAAGTAAAGAGATCAGATTGAGCGCATCCTCGGATCGCGCATAAACAAAACAGTAGCAAATCCCAGATGGCTGCACAGAACTCTGAAACAGATCACAATTTCAACTTTGCTACCGCCAAGCCCATTGCGAAAGTCAAATGCAAGAAAAGCCGAGAAGATATTAAAACCTGTAACTCATAACTATCTGCGTTACCTCCGGTAATGGACTCCTAAAACAGTTCGAATGCTTGTAAAGTGTAAACAAATTTTGCCGGAGCCCGATCACTTTAATTCATCCCT